GAAGATGGTTGGAATTATTAAAGGATTATGATTTCAGTTTGAATTATCATCCAGGAAAAGCGAATGTGGTAGCTGATGCGTTGAGTCGAAAGACTTTACATATGTCGACAATGATGGTTAAAGAGCTGGAATTAGTTGAGCAGTTCAGAGATATGAGCTTAGTTTGCGAGGTTACTCCACAAAATGTTATGTTGGGTATGTTGAAGGTTAATAATGAATTTCTAGACAATATCAGAGAAGCTCAGAAGTTGGATGTGAAACTGGTAGATTTGATGGTTGGGATTGATCAGTCTGAGAATAGTGATTTTAAGCTAGATGTGCAAGGTGTGTTGAGATTTCTTAATCGGATTTGTATTCCTGATGATACTGAGATGAAGAAAGTGATACTTGAAGAGAGTCATAGGAGTAAGTTGAGTATTCATCTAGGAGCTACAAAGATGTATCAAGATTTTAAAGGTTTGTTTTGGTGGCCTGGGATGAAGAGTGATGTGGCTCGGTTTGTGTATGCATGTTTGACTTGTCAGAAGTCAAAAGTTGAACATCAGAAGCCTGCAGGATTGATGCAACCGTTAGAAGTTCCAGAATGGAAATGGGATAGCATTTTAATGGACTTTGTGACGGGGTTACCTAATACTTTAAAAGGACATGATTCGATTTGGTTGATTGTTGATAGGCTTACGAAGTCAGCTTATTTTATTCCTATTAACATAAGTTTTCCAGTGTCAAAGTTGGTTGAGATTTACACTAGTATGATTGTGAAGCTGCATGGTGTTCCTTTGTGCATTGTGTCAGATAGAGATCCAAGATTTACTTCTGATTTTTGGAAGAGTTTGCAAGAAGTGTTGGGTTCTAAGTTAAGGTTGAGTTCAGCGTATCATCCTCAGAAAGATGGTCAGACTGAACGGACTATTCAATCGTTGGAAGACTTGTTGAGGGCATGTGTTCTTGAGCATATAGGTTCGTGGGATACTTATCTTCCGTTGATAGAGTTCACCTATAATAACAATTACCATTCTAGTATTGGGATGACACCTTTTGAAGCGTTGTATGGTCGAAGATGTAGAACTCTGTTATGTTGGCATGAATCTGGAGAAAGTGTAGTACTTAGACCTGAACTTGTTCGTGAAACTACTGAGAAGGTGAAGTTGATTCGAGATAAGATGAAAGTTTCACAAAGTAGACAGAAGAGTTATCATGATAAGCGAAATAAAGATTTAGAATTTCAAGCTGGTGATCATGTGTTTTTAAGAGTTACACCTGTAACTGGTGTTGGGCGAGTATTGAAGTCTAAGAAGCTCACTTCTCATTTTATTGGACCATATCAGATTTCAGAGAGAGTGGGGAATGTTGCTTATAGAGTGGCTTTACTGCCTAATATTTCAAATTTGCATGATGTGTTTCATGTGTCGCAACTTCGGAAGTATATTTCAGATCCATCTCATGTGATTCATATGGACGATGTGCAAGTACGGGATAATCTTACGATGGAGACGATGCTGGTACGGATCGTGGATCATGAAATAAAGACTCTGAGGGGCAAAGAGATCGCTTTGGTTAAAGTGGTTTGGTTAGGAGATGCCGGAGAAAGAATGAGTTGGGAGTTGGAAAGAAAGATGTGAGACTCATACCCTGAGTTGTTTGATTAAGGTAAATTTTCGAGGACGAAAATATTCTAAGTGGGGGAGAGTTGTAACGCCCGTAGTTTAATTAATCATTTAATTAAATTATTTTTGGAATATTTGAGAAGTTGTGTTGTGATTAATTGGATTTAATTATTTTATTAAGTGGTGAAATAATATTAGAAGCATAATATTATTTGATGTGAGCTTGTTTGAAAGGAATAAAAGTAATAAGGGGGTGTATTAGTTTTGAGCCCATTAAGAAATAAAGAATAATAAGTTATTTTATTATTGTTAGAAAGAATAGAAAGAAGAGGCAGTAGAAGAATAAAGATTGAGAAGAAGAACGTGAAGCTGCTGGAAAAAGAGGAAAAACGGCAGAACGAGGTTTCAACCGGAAGATTATAGAGCGATCTTCAATCCAAGGTAAGGGTGGGGTTCTGACTCTATAATTGGGTTCATGATAATTGGTATGTGGGGTTAGAGGTGATTGTTGTCTTGTTCATGAATTGAATGTATATGATGTTGTATGATGAAATTGATGAATTTTAGATGAATAATGACGTCCTGGTGTTGTTTGATTGATGTAGAATTATAGGATAATTGTAAATGATGATTTTCCATGATTAGATTAAGTTTTTAGGGCTTAAGGTATGGAACCCGTAGGGAAAACGCAGAGAAATCGCAGAAATTATGCAGGATAGAGCAGTATGCGTCGACCTCAAACATGATGTGTCGATATATGAAGGTTTAGAGACTCAGGATGAGTCGACACGAAGAGGTTTTGCATCGATACATGAGGACTTTTAGACTCAGGATGAGTCGATACGTAGGAGCATGTGTCGATACATGCTGTGTGTTAGACTCAGGATGAGTCGATCCAAGAAAGGATGCGTTGACTCATGTTGCAAATTCAGTGCAGTACGCGTCGATCCAAGACGTTTTGCATCGATCCATGTCGTCTGGTTTTTGGCAGAGTCAGTTTGAAGATGTTGTAACTTGAGTTTTAGGACTCCGTTTGAGGTGTCGTTCGAAGCGTGGAATAGCTAACGCGATGAGCTTTATTCTTGAGGATTAAAATTAAGAGTGGGAAGGATAACCCTAGTAATCCCAATTAGGACTAGAGTTAATTCCCGCGTTAATCGTTATGTTGGTTTTTATGCAGAATGATGAGGATGAAATGTTTATAGGTTGCTGTTGAATTGTAACAATAGGAGTAATGATAGTAATGATGTAAGATTACAGAATAGCAGTGTGTAGAGGTTTGGTGACTTAGAAGTAAGCCTTAGTTGATTAACTAATTATAGGAAATATCTTGTATAGGCCTATGGCCAATATTGTGAAATTGATGAGTTAATGTCGTATTAATGTCCAGCTGAGTTGTCGATGAGATGTTATTAATGAAGTTGTGTTTGATAAATTATGATGAATAAATGATGTTTGATGAATTATTATGAATGATATGAGATGTTGATGAAGAGATATTGAGATACTTTTGAGATGTAGGCCTTTGGCCAACGATGGTGTTGTATTGAGATGTTGTTAATTGTGGTGTTGTTATTACATTCATGATTGTGTCGCATACATTGCATTTTGAGATGAAGCTTATGCTCGTTGAGATGGCCTGAATTGGCGAATATTGAGATGAAGACTTATGCCTTGTTAATGTCTCTATTAATTGGCAATTTTTGAGATGGGAGTTCTGCTCCAAATGATACCACATGCATTTGCATAGTATTGAGTTGCATTATATGACTGCATAGAGAAGTGTGTATTTATGTGGTGAATGTGTATTATTATTGTTGATTATGAGATGAGAAGTGGTGATGTTATGTGATCTAATTTAATATATTAATTATCATGCGCTTTATTATATTGTTAGATATCTCACCCCTTCTGTTTGAATGTTGCCCTTACGTTGGTAACGTGCAGGTAATCGAGAGTGAATGTTGTATACCTTCAATAGTTCGAGTCGGTGTCATTGTTCTGATATGTAACACTCGGGGGGATGAACGCTTGTTGCTTTTGATTGTTGATTATTCAGTTGTTGAATTTTAAGTTGATTATTATTAAGTATTTGTTAGTTTGAAGTTGTTGTAATGATGATAAAGATGTTATTAAGAATTCCGCTGCGTAGATGTTGAATTATTTAATCAAAGATGTTATGATGATGGTTCATTCGATGTTTTAAAAGTGTTATATATCCACGATGAATGCAATGAGTTTTGATATAAGAATTTGTGACATCCCGATTCGAATTTGCATGAATGATTTTTATAACTCTGATTTATTTATATAATTGTCGGGGTAGAATTGAGGTGTTACACATGTAATTTGGATATCTAAAAACCGATTTAAATTAAACCGCATAAAATTAGATCGAATCAGATTGAACTTTTTTAATATGTTATTCAAAATCGAACTAGATCGCAAGTAAATTTATATTTAGATCAGATGAGTTTTTATCTTAAAACCGATTCAACCGAACCGCGAACGCCCCTATTTCTTAGGATGAGTATTGTTTCTCTAGAATATTTATTCTTAATTCATTAGCGAACAAACTTTTAGTTTTAAATTAGTTATTGGTAAATCATAGATAAAAGCAATTTGATTATCAAGAACGATACACTTTTTAAGCGGTTATCTCTAGACTTAAGTGATAAGTAACAAAAATATTCCTATCAAGCATTATCCAATGAAATTCCTTTCAAAAATATTCCTATCAAGCATTACATATAAAAATAAACCATACTAAAAATAAGTACTTAACATTGCAAAATATTATTTCAAAATACAAAATGCATAAGATACAATTACTAAACGTGTGACTTTTATTATAGTATTTTTAAACTCATATGATTTGGACAAAATTTCACAAATCACGGTCCTGATTTCATGGCCATGCTATTCTTTCAAAAGCTGACTCTGACTGTTCAACTTTTAACTTTTGATTATAGGGTTGGATCACGGAAATGGCTTCTTTGGTGAAGTCCATTGACAGGAATCACTTATTGGAAGCCGGGCTTGAAGGGTTTTATGGACAATCAACACCACAAAGGACCAAATCGAATCCTGCAACTAACATAGGAACAGACTTCATTCCCAACAATCGAATTCTTCCAACTGTTTGTTACAAAATATAACTCTCATGATATGCCCTTAAGTTGTTTTAAGATTATTTTAATTAGATCCTCAAGAGTGTTTATAGGAACAGCTTATACAAAAGACAAGTACATGCAAAAGATAAACTCAAAAACAGCCTTAACAATACATTTAGTTACTCTCTTGGACGAAAATAACATTATGATTCATCTCTAAGAGAGAAACCTTTATACTTACCACAACATACACAATAAGCAACTACTACTTCAAACTCCAATTTCAAAACCCAATTTGTCCTCCTCTATTTCCTCTAGCTCTTTTCCATCGCCTTTCATTAGCGATCCTCGAATAGATCTTCCGAATAAGGTAAAGCTTATGAGATTGTTGAGCAATGACATTAGCAGTAGAAGAACTTTGACCGAGCATTATTCCATAACCGTCATCGAAAGATTCCATTCCTCCTGTAAGAAGTTGCCAGAATAACGCTCCACTCGCAGGACCGCCTCTTTTCGCAGACGTATATATCTTGTAGAGCACTGTATTGAAAAGTTGGTCCCTTTGGTATGTGCTGTAACCTGAATCCTTAAATGACTTTCCAAATTCTGCTACTAGAATTGGTTTCTTCAGAGCATATTGTGCATCTAGGAAATGAGCATTGAGCCAGTTGTTCAAAAATGCTAGCTGATCTTGCTCGTTTGAACTTTGTACCCTGTTTGCGCAACCAAAAAACAATGTTATAATGTTATTAGTACTTGCATAAAGTCAAAATTCCTTTGAATAAAAAATCAAACACAAGAGTTGTGCAATTTCAAGACGCAAATTGCGATTCACTAAGTAACAATATTGCAATTGTTAGTTTAGTTAGAATCTCTGTAGCACCGATATATCTGAAAAAATGTGTGTCAGTGTTGGATACGAATACTAACACCTAATCACAATCTGTGATTATTTTTAGTTTGTTCATTTTTTCAAATTATTACACGTGTCGTCGTGTCAGTGTAGCGTTCAGGGTATTCGTGCTTCATACCATTGATCGGGATAACAGTGAACGGTTGCAAAATCGATGTTTGAGATTCGATTGTTAGCAATGAAGTCTGTTCCAATGTTAATAGCAGGATTCAATTTGGTTCTTTGTGGTGTTGATTGTCCATAAAACCCTTCTAGCCCAGCTTCCAATAAGTGATTCCTGTCAATGGACTTCACCAAAGAAGCCATTTCAGTGATCCAACCCTATAATCAAAAGTTAAAAGTTGAACAGTCAGAGTCAGCTTCTGAAAGAATAGCATCATGGCCATAAAATCAGGACCGTGATTTGTGCAAATTTGTCCAAACATATATAAAAGTCACACACGTTTGGTGGAAAAAAATTAAAAGTACTTTCAGTGCAAGATTTGAATAAATCACTCACTCATCACTGTCTTATAGAGGAATAAAGGTGGAGGGAGGGTAAATTCGAAAGAGGAAAAGAAAGAAAAAGAGAAAAAGTGGGTGTGGAAGAATCAAGAAAGAAGAAACAAACAAGTAAAGAATAAAAAATACTTGACCTGTATAGTTCTTCCAGAAGGATCTGATGTACACCTAGGTTCATTCATAAGCTCCCATGCCATGATTGTTGAGTCATCTTTGTAATGGATTCCGGTAAAACTGTTGTATCTGTTAAGGACAGTCTATGGAAGATGCATGGAAATTAAATCAGATCAAATTATCTTGTAAATATATGTTTAGGTCACATTTCATATCATGTGAGATATTGTTAACACTCTTTCCCGTTTAATATTGGACATCTGAAACGTGACACGAAAGGCCTATAGCGAAAACTTGATAACTTGATAACAGTAGGCCAAATTTGATAATTCTCAAAATTCATAAGATAGAGTTTAGTTTTAAATATGGTATATTGCGAACTCAAGACGGCACCAAAAACTTAAGACGGCTCTGATCTCAATCATATACAATTTTACTAAGCAGAAAAAAGAACTTGTACTGACCTTAACATGGTTAATGTAGAAACCTTTAACAACAGGGTTCCTAAAGAAATCATCATCAGATGTCAAATACTGTCCATTATTACTTCTAGCCCAGTTCACATACTGCTTCTTCCCTCCAAAACTCTCATAGTTGTTCACCAAACTCAGTATCAGCTTAATCCCATGCTTTCTAGCCTCAGATATAACAAAATCCAACCCCTTCAAACCAAAAAAACACATTCAACTACCAAATTATATCATAGGTTAAATTGAACAATTTTCAACCTTTCTGGCTAGAACAAATTTATACCAGACTTGATTTGTTTCAGATTACCAAAATTGGAGAGTTGTGATAAAAACAAAAATGAACAATTTTCAAAATAAAAAATACCTTAAACATTTGTTCATTATAGAAACCAGGTGAATATTGCAAAGGACTATAACCACCATCACTGAAAGCCCAAGTTCTAGCAACAGTAAGGCCATGAGTTTTTGCTTCATTGAAAGCATTTGAAACCTTGTATCTCTGAGATGGATCAGCAGCAGTATACATTAACCAGTAAGCATTGAATCCATTTGCATAGTAAGGATTTCCATTTAACATGAAGTGGATCCCTCTTGTTCTGACAAAACCATTACCACCACCACCAGCTTCTACATTGATATTGAAACAACAATTTTGATGGACCAAAATGGCCAAAAGAAAAAAGAAAGGAAAATTCTTCATCTTTGAAAATTGATGTCCTAGTTTTTGGAAGATATGCTAAAACCACTAGTAATGTGTTGTGGAGAATTATTTTGTTGGTTTATTAATATGGTTAGTAGTATAGTATAGTGAGTGGGAAGAGGAAAGGGAAAAGTCCATCTATATAGTCATTAATTAGAAGTCGGTGGACCATGAAAAGTGAAAAACTTTTTTTGAGAAAGAAGTTTGTCGTCTTTAATTATTATTAAATGAGGAAATACGAAAAAAATATTTTTAAAATATTTTAATATTAATGTATTTATTTATATATAGATCAAATAAAAAAAATTTATTCAATAAATTTAAAAAATAATTTTTTTCTAATAAATAACACCTTATAAGAAAATAAAATTTCTTTTTGAAAATTATAATTACTTTTAGGCGAATATACACTCACCTCCCTTGAGGTAACACTCCCTCTAATTTTTAAATATATATTGATCTCTTATGAGGTTTATTGAAATGATGCTGACACCCTCTATGAATTTTAGTTACACTCAAAAATCATAGCTATAGATGACATTTATCTACGATTTTTGGTCTGTCATTACAACTTTCCGTTGATATATGTATGTTTAGGGAAGATCAATGTATGATTTAAAACTAGAAGGAACCTTAGTGTCTTTTTAACAAACTTTAAGAGAGGTGGATGTAATTTTCCCTTATTATAGATCTAGTCTAAAGTTAGATGGACGAGATAACTCAATTAATATGTATTAATTAAATTAAATGAGTATATTATATTGATTTAAGATTTGATCTCTAACAATAATATTTATTTATATTTATACATCAATATAAATAAGGTGTTAATATTTATAAATCAACAACTTACTAAAAAAAAAGGCTAAAATATAAAAAAGAAAAACAATAAAAAGTGATTATTATAACTTCGTCTACATATTGGAAAAACATTATTCTCTAAAAAAAAAAATTTTAAAATTTTAATTTTTAAAATGCATTAATTACTTTTTGTTTTGTGTAGGAATAAGAATTTAGTGCGTGTTGATGGGGAGGAATCCTAAATCGATAGTCCCGATTTACGATATGTTGGCACGGGGATGGACCTATAAAGTTAGCATTTAAACGCTCAAATCAGTCCAGATTTTAAGAGAAGTGTAGTAACAACGGAGATCAAAAAGTGTACCTTGAATATCTTGTGTAATGGCTTTTATAGGATTGACATTAGTTTCGGTCTTAAATTTTTGGGCTTGTGGGCAGCCCATAACAGTTGCTTCTGAGGCTTGCTGAGCGTTAATGAGTCGGGAAAGCCTTTAGTAGTCATAATCGACCTCTGAGAATGTCGTTCACTTCGAACCATGATTTGAAATGCTTAAAGTCAGTTGAAAAAGTAGTGGGGGACAGTCGCATTAACTGCATTCTCATCATTGAAACATTTTGCTGCTTCTTTCAAATGTGTGGATTGAAGTGACTAGTTAGGGCATGGCGGTGCTTATAGTGCACTCGAGTGTTGAATATTGATAAAAAATTTCGCAACCATTAAAATTCATTTTGCATTCACAAACATTTCTATTTGCAAGTGTCTTCCTCTCTTCCCTCTTGAAAGTGTTTATCAAAATATGTGTGGTTCCTTGCTCAAAGCCTCCCTTTCTCTATATTATATTTGCTTCGCTAGCCTCGCCTTACTAGGTACCTTCCTTTCCTCCAACTTTAATACCTTCAACATTTCTTGTACTTTGATCAAAATGAACAATAGTCATATTAGCTTGGTGAGAGATTATGAGAGTGATGCCTCTCCTATTGCGAGAACGAGAGTATTCCCTGGTTCAAACCCTTCCTCTTTTGTCTACAATAGCCTGAGACCTAATGTGATATCTCTAACCAATTATTCTTATTCGGAAAGGTTTTCTGTGGGCTCTCAATAAGAGGTAGCTTCCTTTGGGATTCTTCTTTCGATGCCATATTCTTTGATGATGACGTTGCGGGGTGTCATACCCAAATTTTTTACCTAAGATCCCACCTTCATTTGCATTTTCATAAAGCATCAAGGTCACGAGATACAATTGGTTTTTAATTTGCTCACCTTCGAGCATTGCTTATGCAGAGATTACCAAGTGTTATGAACATCTTATCTTATGCATCTAATCCCATACAAAGGTGTATGTTTGTGTTTCTTTGGTTTCATGTGCATAGACAAGTCTAAATCAAGAGTGTCGGGTGTTGCTCCTCAATTAGGGTTTTGAATCCCTCAAGTGTTCAAGTATGGTGAATCACATATTCTCAAAGACTACTTCATCAAAGTTTAGCCCTTAACCAAAAGTACAATCAAGATTTCATCATCACTGGTCCATATGTGAATCAATATGTCTGGGAGCACAATGAAAGATCAAATTTACAAGTCGATTCAAAGCACTTTGACCAAAAGTCAATTTTTCAAGATCAAGTTCAAATGATCATGATTTCTTCATTATTCAATATTTTTGAACAGTTCTTTTTGCGTATAACTCTCCTCGATGCCATCTCCAACTCCTCTTTACCAGTCAGGATCTGATTATGTGCGGAGGATCATCAAATGTTCGAATATTTTAGAGGTCATTTTGTAGACTTTAACCTAATCCCAAGTAACTGTTTCATAACTCCCAAGAATTATAACATCCTAATTTTCAATGTTTTAATACGTTTCTTTTGCAATTTATCACAAATAATTCCATTTATGAGATTGCTTCAAAGATCGAAGTCGGATTGCGCTTGGAAAGCCATGAAATTTACCGAAACGATATAAGTCATGTTTTCACTTAGTATGTTCTTAACCTCTACTTTCAACTCATGTCATAATAAGTTTCTTCAAAGACATTGTTCATTATGGTGAATTAAAGTATAATTTGCAACTTATTTTGATCGGTACAATTTTTTATTCTCATCAAACACTTGTTACTTCAATTGCAAGTTAACTTTAATTTGGGGAAATTAATGTTAGGAGTTCAAGGTGATTTGAATTTTATCATTGAGATTTGAACTTTCATCAAGATTCATTCAAGGTTGCATTCAAACAAGAGCTCATTCATTATTCAAGTTCATCATGAATTCAATGAGCAAGTTTCATTCATGTTCTAAGCATCGATCATCATCATCATTTATATTCGTTCGTGTCTACCATCATTCACTCAAAATTCATACCATATTCAAGATCAAGATGTCATCCGATATTCATCCGAGTCTTTCATTATCTATATCAAATCAAGTTTCTATCAATATTGGAAGTACAAGAATCAAATTTGTTCATTATACCATCATTTTAATCACGAAAATATCACAAGCCAATTACAAGTTCTACAAGTTACATAGGAAACTTTTCATAAAAAAAACAATTACACAATAATTTTGTTCTAAACATAATCTTCAATCCTTCATGCCATAGAACATGTCCAAACAAAGTTTTGTTGTCTTGTTATCTTGTTATCATGTTGCTGCTCCTTCTCTAAACCAGTCCATTACAAAGCCAAACCATAACTGTCCAAAAACCTGCATACAGTCTGTTGCACCAGTCCACATCTCTCAAAACCTACACAAAACAGCCTTGTTATGCCACTACTTCCCTGCATAAGAACAGCAAACAAAACAGGCCAAAATTTTCACTAAAATGGCACACACCAAAAGCTATCTCAAAAAGCAATAAATCAGTATCCAGAATTATTCAAACCTCTCCTATTTCCCCCCAAATTCCATCAGTTTCCCCCCTATAAATTAGTACTTCATCTCAACAGAAAAAGGGGGGAGATATGAGAGAGATATACAGAAAAAATACTTTCAAAAAGTTTATTCAAGTAACACAAGAAAATATACCATATAAACACCTTTCTCTCTATTCTGACATACATGTACCTTTAACCCCAAGTATTTTCTTTTGTCAAAAAGCCAAGTCCACCATTAAAATAATCACTTTCGTGTCTCACTGCCATGTAGTATAACTTGTACATTAAATACCATCAACTAAGTTCATTACACAACAAAACCTCCACAGTCATACTCCAACAATGATTTCATTCAATCAACAACATCGGAGCAGCATACTCTTAGAAGTGTGAAGAGAAAAGAAATGCGTAGTAACAACACTGAGAAAAAAGAGAAGAGACATACCTCGAGGAGTCGTCATTCCGATAACTTTCGGATAGGTAACACTGTTATTATTACATTATTGTTTTAGTCGTAAGAATTTTCATGGTATCGTAAGGATTATATTTGCTGTGGTACTTGTCTCCTTTTCGAAGATTTCATTGTTGTTATGAATCATTCTTGTTGTTGAACCGTATGAAAATAGAGTTGTATGTTGATGAATTGATACCGCGAGATGAGTGATTTCATTGTTGTTGTTAAGCGCAAGAGCGGTCGGTGAGAGATTAGAGCTAGTAGAGATTGTTGTTGCCTTTTCATGGAATAGACAGAAGGGTTATTACAGTTCCGGAAGAGAATCACACTGATAAAACCCTAAAAATCTGCTCAATACACAATAATCGAGAGAAAACCACACTTGAAAACTCACCAAAACTCTGCTCAAGTCGATCCCAAAACCCTCTAGAACCTACCCAAAACTACTGCACCGCAAAATCTTTTAAAACCTTTCACAACCTTCACTACTACAGCAGCCCCATAAAAAACAAAATCACACACGACATTAGACAAAATTTATGCCAGAACTATACTCCATATAAAACCTCTGCCTAACTTTAAAACCCTTACTCCATTAAACCCCTGTTAAAACAGAAAACCTCAAAAACCAAATCAACAGTGTCAACACCCTCAAAACCGTACTCTCTTTCGACTCCTCATAAAACCCTCACGACTTCATTTTCACACAACCTTCATACACTCTCAAAATCGAATCACACTCCCTCAATATTCTGCATAACCCCTTTAAGAACTCTGCCCAAAAATTCTAATCCCACCTAACTCACAACCTCACACATCATTGTGACCAACTTCCATGTTTCCTCGTGAGAATCGCTGAGAGGTAAAATAATTGG